GCAGCCATGGAACAAAAAGCTAATGCTAATGACCCGATTAATGTTGCCTACACAGCATAAAGAAGAAATGACGTGAAAGACACACGTGGTATCCAATGCTATAGTTGTAAAGGATTTGGTCACATTGCAAAATATTGTTCACATAAATTGGAACATTCCTATTATTATTAATAGTTTCATCCTAATTATTATGTTACTATGTTAAATTTTGAGAGTCTAATAAATTCAAACTACTAAATAAATACATGAAGGCATATATACCACATTTGCATACATATAGTGTTATTGTTCAATAGTAGAGAATATAATTCAGACTTCCTATCTTTCCTATGTTATTCAGGTATATTACAAATCAAAGGAAAATAAAGGTCAGGCAAAAGGATCCTAAGCATTGATAATTTACATATACCTTTTTTTTTCAAGCAGATTACTCTCTTTTAGTCATCTAGCCCATCTAGAGAAGGATCAACATTAGCATGAAGGCCTAGATAAACCGCTGCACAATACATGGGATAGGGGATCGCTGCATAATTATAGGAGCAATATAGGGTTGTTAATGGTAGTAATAGTTAGTATCACACATCCTATATAGATAATATTTTGATTACCATGATTATGGCTCCATGTTAGGATAATTTAGCATATTTTCCACTACCTGCAACACAAAGGTACTTTGCTATCACTTATTGTAAAACCAATACTATTTGTCCCTCGCCTGTATCTGATGTTTTCAACCTCTATCTTTATGAATTATTTCACAATCACAACACAAATTATAGCCATTAATTTGTTCATTGAATACATATCTATCATAATCATTCATCCCTTAAAACATGATAATCATTCATTTTATGGACATGGCTATTGTCATAATTTTCCAGATTTTATGCACCAAATTGTAAAATTCATAACTAATTCAATACAAACCCAAAAAATCATGAAATCACTTGGTTTTAAAGATTACAAGTGCTAAATGTATCTTAAACCAACAATTTTCTAAACTAAAATTCTTAGAAACCATAAGCGAAATTAAACACTCAAGTTATTTGTCAGCGATACCCTGTCTTGTGTGTGATTTGACCAAACAACAACAACAGAGTGACGACAAGATAGATCTGCACAATGGGTGACCTTTCATGTAGGATCACTTGATGATCTCTTGTGACGACATTGACAACTAGCTCTAATGAATAACAATTCATAGTTGTTGCAATAGGTTTGAATGAGAGAGACATTGAGAATGAAAGTAGGGTTAGGGCAGAGAAGTTCAAATACTAAACAACAATGAGAAATTGACACATAACACATTTTTTTTAACTTTTGAATTGAAAATGTAAGAAAAATAAGAGATTTAATTAAAATAATATAATATAATTAATAATATACATATATATATATATATATATATATATTAATACTAGTATTTTAACTAATGTACTACACAAAAGTATTTTGTCAAAAATACAAATTTTTGAAAAATCATTTTAATGAATTAAATATTTGTAATATATATAAATTTTAAAAGAAAGAATTTGAATAAAAGATAAATGATCATAATAAAATTTTATAATAAAAAATTATACTTTTTTATCCAAAAAATTAACAAATAAGAATTAACAATATTTTTTATATTTTATATTTTTTTAAAATCTTCTTTGAATGTAAATAAATCGTAAGAATAATATTATTTAGATTCAATAAATTATAGTTATACTTATAATGCACATGTTGCATAGGAAAATTATTTTAAATTGAAAAATAAAAATAAAATTTAAATATTATCAATAAATAATAAGCTTACAGTGATAGTGTAGGTGATTGTAAAATTTATAAAATATTTACAATAAGTTATTATTTATCATTCACTTTATGATTTAAATATCAATATGATTTTATTAATAAAAATATTTGTGTGAAAAATATTTTATAGTGTCATATATAAATAATATTTTTTTAAAAAGTCAATCTCATATAAATTATGTAAAAATAAAATTGTATTAACCTAGTTAAATGAATAAAATAGTAAATAAATTTTCTATTAAAAATATAAACCAAAATAATTTTTTTGGTTTACTTTGTTATTGAATATATTTTTATATTAATCTTATAAAACTTCAGATAAGTAATATAATAATACAAAAATTCAAAACATAGTTATAGAACAGAGTTCAAGCATAAATCAAAATTTACATAAGTAGCACAATTAATATATATATATATATATATATATATATATATATGCAAGTATGTATGCAGGTATCGGATAAGTTGGGTACTTAGATACTCATATAATAGATAAATACCCTACCCATGGTAGGTAAATTTTACAGGTGCCCATCGGATCCTTTACCCATTGTCATCCCTATTGAAATGACCATGGGCAGTTTTTGGTTGGTTTCTACAAAGGCATCCATCTCTTCTCTCCTTTAGAAGCTGAACTTTGGAGCATTTTTTTGGATTAAAGCTCATGGTCCAAAAGGGGCTTAACACCATTTAGGTTGATAATGATTCTAAAATAGTTTTATCCCTTGTCCTTAATGTGCAAAACCCTGCTCATCCTCTATATGATCTAATTAGTAGGATTAGAAATGTTCTCAAACATATTCAATTTGTTAGGCTTGAGCATGTATTGAGAGAAGTCAATCAATGTGTTGATCATTTAGCTAAATTAGGGCTTGAGAGTTCCTTGTTTTCTTCTTGTATTGCCACCCCTCCCTCTATTTTTTTTTTTCCTTTCTTTGTATGGATTCTTTAGGCTTTGTTTGGGAGTTTAGAGGAGGAGAGAAGGGAAGGGTTTAAAGGGAGAAGGAGGGGAAGGAAGTTAAACCTCTACCTTGTTTGGATGTTTAATATTGAGAGGGAAGGGTGATGAAGGTTTAAGTATATAAATAATATTATTATATTTTATATCTTTTATTTATATTTTTTATCTTTACAGAAAATAAAAAATAAATATTTTTCTTTTTCTAAAAATTAAAAAAAATAACATTTTTAAAATTAATATTTTTATTTTTTTATAAATTTTTTCAAAAAATTTCCACTTGAAAAACTAACATTAAAAAAAAGTTAAAATCCTAATCGTGTAAAAGTACGAGAAAGAGTGAGAGAGAGAAAATTCTTAGAAAACTTTTTATTGGAGGAACTCAAAACACTAACGTTGAGAAGGCTTTGGAGGGTTTAGAAAACCCTTCCTTTCCCTCCCTCTCTCCTCCTAAATATAATTCTCAAACATAGCCTTAAGTGTTTGGTTTCCTAAATTGGTGACTTGTTTCTGTTTGTTTGAACTTTCTAACCCCTTTAAATATATAAAAAAATAGAAAATAATGAACATATATTTTAGTTGCTTAAATTTTGAATTTGATACATTACATTAAATTAATAGATATAAAAATAATGTTTTTTCACTTAAATGATTTTTTTTTATATTTTTTTAATTTTAAATGTTGTCTTTATTACAACCTAATAAATTAAAAAACCACCATTAATAACCAATAAAAAAATATATCTTATTATATTTTATTATTCTTTAAAATATATAATTTTTTAACTTTTTAATTGTAGTATTTTTCAGATATTTTTTTTTTAAATTTTATTTGAGCTTAGAAAAAATTTATGTAATACATGAAAACATGTATAACCGTATTAAAGCTAATTTTAAAATAATAGTTCTTTGTCAAATTACTATGATAAATAATGTTAAGCCCTAAAATAAAAGTTATTAAAAAGTCATCATTAAATTCAAGTGTTTTGATAGTAATTTCTTAAAAGTGCAATGAAATCTTTAATATCAATTATATTAGAAAAAGACTATCAAAAGGCTTACGATAACCCCTTATTATAGGCATCATTGAACAAATTCAAATATATTTTTAGTTTTTATATTTTATAATTTTTATTTTTTTATAATTTCAGTTCTTATATTTAAAAAAATAAAAAATATAAAAATATAAAAACTAAAAAAATATTTTAAAAAATAATTTCACACCATCTAATTTAATTTAAACCTTTTATCATCGCTAAATCACTTTTTTTCATATGCACCATGTCATTTATTCATGTTGAAATCACAAAGTTTTGGCAAGAGGGCGACAAAGGATCTCAGTCTCCATCTCTTTTTTTTTTTTTTTTTCTCGTGATTTGATTCTAAGAATTTGCATGAATGACCTAAGTTTCCATTACAGTCCATACTCAATACTAGAACTGGGAAGTAAGTCAGTTCTCACTCATTTAGCCCATAAAACCAAATAGGCCCTAATACAAAAAGCTTACAGGGTCAAAAGGACCATAAAGCCTGATGGGTTAGAGTTGACCTATAGAAAAGTCTATTTTCAACAACTTCAAACTAAAAATTCTAAGATAAACATTTTCATGTAAGACTTTCTAAAACAAAATAAATACACGCCAATAAACCAGATCCTTGTGTTCACAATTAGAAATTGATTCATATTGGAAGGCATATCATTCACACATCAGATAGCACTGAGATAGGCTGTCAAAATGAGTCTGGCCAACCCACCTAGTCGGTTGAAAATGGCAAGTTGGATTGGAAATTTTACATTCATCATCCTATTTAGCCCATCCCACATTAACCGCTAAAATGCTTACTAATAGCAAACTCATTTTTCAAATTTAAAAAATATAATATAATTATTCTAGTTCAATATTAACTTTTCATTGATACAAAAATATTATTTAAATATTTTTAATATTTTTTTATAAGTTTTCATTGATTTTTATAATTTTTCTATTTTCACGTTAATTTTAAATAGATCAACATACTAATTTATCAACAATTTATATTTTATCTTTTTGACAGCTGGCGCGTTAGCCCCTCACGACACCTTAAATAGGCCAAATTAAAAAATCCAAACAATTTTGTGACAAGCTTTAAGTGGATCGACCACTTCGACACTCCTACGGAGTACTTTACCATGAATAAAAAACATAAGTTATATGAGTCTTAATCATAATGAGTTTACAAATCAACAATACTCAGTTCAACAATGTATCAATATATTGGTTAAAATATATTTTCTCTTCTGTGTTATTATTATTATAACACAGATTGAGGTAAAAAGACAGTGAAGTGCAAGGATCAATTTGAAGATGAACAACATGAATGAGGACTAGAAAGGCTATATTTTGGTCCCTGTACATAAAAGTCATTTTCAATTTGGTCTTTATATTTTGCAACAACTTAGACTCAATCTCACTGTGGTGTTTGTATTGGCAAAAAAGTCGATAAAATTGAACATAATGGGGGCTAAATTGAAAAGCCATACATGCAAGGACCAAATTGAAAATGGGCACCATGTATACCAATAATATATTTTAACCAAAACTTTTAAATCACTTCAGGTACATTCCAAGCAACTGCACCTTTTCCTTTCTTTAAATTCAAGGCACAAAACCCTTTCCCTCAAGGGAATAAATCCTGAATATCCACAATATCAGCAAGGACACCAGCAGCAGTAGTGTCATTTCCAGCTCCAGCACCTTGAATTACCAGTGGTTGGTCACAATAGCATCGAGTATATATTTCCAACTGCCATTGGCATCAAAATACAATACAGTCAAACCACAAAAGTTTTAGGAACGTTTCAGAATTTATTTTCTGTTCTCACTTTCAATTACAAAATTTTTACCTTACTTTCATTCTATTTTTTTGTTTTCAAAGATTTGTATATAGAGAACAATAAAAAGTTACTTTTACTGTTTCCTACACAAATATTTGAAAATGGAAAACAAGATAAAACCAAGGTGATATTTTTGTAATTAAAAGCAAAAATAGAAAATAAAACAACATTTCTCAAACCAAACTGCCCCTTAGCTTACTAGAGCTGAACTTTTATAATACAGCAAAGCAAAAGAAACAGGATGAAAGCACATTCAGTTAGATCATACCTATAAAATTGAGAAGAATCCTAATTAAAAATGCATCAGAGAGACAGTGAGAAAATTTAAGTTTACCACGTTATCACTTCCTCTTAGTCTTCCTAAGGGAGAATTCTTTGGAAGCTCCTGAATGCCAACTTCACACCTGTGAAGAGAAAAAAGCTATAATTAGCATAAAGGAATTGCATTATATGAATATGAATAATTTTAAACATTAAACATTGCCAAATCATATACAAAAATTGAATTGAAAATGATATAAGAGAAAAGCATATGTGCAAAGGTGTAATGCTAATGCTTGATTGAAGGCACAGCATTAAGGGAGGGAAAAGAAGATGCCTTGAGCCCTCAATCACACAGACATAGCGCAGCACATTTCCATTTGAAGCTGCCTTCTCAACTCTATCTTGAATATCTTTATCCAGCAACAAGAGTCCACGACCAAGGAAGTCTTCAACAGTCATTACATCAGGACCCATCTCTTTGGGATACAAGCTCTCAATCTGTATAATGCATATAAAATAGTAATCGCAACATAGGGGAAAAATTGGAGCGGAAATAGAATTTAATAAATGCCCATACAAACCTGAAGGTTATCCAGATTAATCTGATGACCAAGTATTCGAGCAAGAATTAAAGCCTGTCTTAAAATTGGCCCAAACGCAGAAATTTAGTATTAGCACATTTTAAGTTACTATTCATAATATACTAACCAGCTTTATACAAAATTGTATTGAAGTTTCTAAGATAAGAAATGGTTAACTAAAAAGTTGATAAATTACAATATCAATTCAGAAATGAAATCTCATACTACACTTGCCACACAAGGTGCATACAATTCAATCAACAGCAAGTATCATTTTTCATGAACAAAATCAACAAACGGAGAGGTATGAATTTTACTAACTTTGGCCAATGAAACTTGGATTTCTTTATACTAGATTAAACTGATATGCACATTATCCAAAAATGGACATCATTAAACTATGTTTGGGGTGGGATGGGGTGGATTTTTGTCCTCCAACCTGCCCACACCTAGAATGAGGTCTAAGGTCAGGTTTGGGAAGGCAAGGATAAAAAACTAAAACCCATCTCCATTCCGGTCAAGGTTGAGGAAATTAAAGTGGGAACCTATCCCATCCTTTTTTTTCTTAATTCAATTCAACCATGCGCAAGCAAGCACACACATTTTTAAGAAAATCAAATATTAAGTACATTCTAATTCAAATCTTATATACAACTTGACATCAAGGATCTTAAAAATAAGAAACTTAAGAACTAAATTGTCTATTCCAGCAAATGTGTGATTTCAATTTTATTATTTTACTACTAAATAATTTATATAATGGTAGCTATTAGCTATCTTTTTTTCGTAATTATGAGAAATAGGAGTCTGGGAATAAAATTCTAACTCCTTTTTTAGTGCATTTGTTAATACAAGCTCATAGTTTTTATTGTGGTCAATAAGTTAATAGAGCTGTTTAGTAAAAATAAAAAATAAAGGGAGTTCATAACTTCTGAAAGCTAGCTTATGAAAAGATATTTCAAGTGTATTTAAATTATTAGAAGCTAGCATCTTTTTTTTTTTTTTACCCTTAACATTCTCAATAACTTAAACTCACAAAATAACCTAAATACTTTATTTTTAGTCATTTAACATACTTCAATTAATTGTACAGCTAGTTTTAACATATAGATTTAATCATTTTTAAAATATAAGTAAATGTTAATTATGAAATTACATATTTACAAACAAATGATTTATCTAAAATTCAATACACATGACCAACATGAATATATCACTTAATTCAACGGTTGGATTGACAAAATACAACATTTATAAAGAGTTATTAAGCGAAGCAACTTTGAACCCCATTCATGTACATACATACATACATACATATACATATATATATATATATATCAAAGAATTAAAACAAACGACATTGTACCTTTCTAGCAACATCCATTCCACCAAGGTCGTCACGTGGATCTGCAACATGATAGAATGTTTAAATAATCTAAACAATTAAAAGGAAAAGTATGATAAACTAACTGTGTGGCAATTAGCAAATGAAACCCATCAGGGAAAGATTAAGGAAAAATGAATTTCATGCCAAGACCTTAGCAAAGAATATATTTATAATGTTAATATTTCCCAAATAGAAAGGGTGGGTTCAAAGAAAATATATGTTCTTTAATGTTAATGGTCCCAATAGCAATAACGTTTACATTAGAAGAGTTGTGGGGAAGGACATTTGGTAAAAGGCACAAAAGAACCGGAATGGACTAGAGAAGGGAATTAGGGATGAGGAGCTGGCTCCAATATAAGCTACCTGTACATGTGAAGAATGAGAGTAGCATTCTGTTAAGGGAGAGGGAGGGTAAAGAAAAATGATGAGGCCATTTGAAAGCTTAAGCAAGAATTGAGTAGTAAGGTTCGCATATAGAAATTAGATATTACAGAGATCAATGTGTTTCACATATCAATGATACAATTCCAAATGTAGCAGTGACTAACCTGGTTCAGTATAACCCAGACTTTTAGCAGCTCTAACAACTTGGCTCAGTGGTTTTCCATCTTCAACCTCACTCATTACATACCCCAATGTCCCTAATAAGAACAATTAGCATAAAATAATAATATAATATCAAAAAATATAATATCTTCTTCCTATTAAGAATGCATGATGAAGCACCAAAAATAAAATGTAATTATAGGACCATGAATGATATATACCACTCAAACTTCCAATAATGCGATGAACGGGATCACCAGAAGAGATTATGCGATTCAGGGATGCTATCACTGGAAGACCAGCGCCTACCTTTAAAAATATAATAACCAGTTCAGTAATTGTTCATTAATCCATGGATAATTCAATATTCCCATTAAGTCAAATAATAATTTGACATGAACCATCCCATAGCTAAGTTGTACAACATAGATAAACAGAAGAGCATCCAGGGATTGCACAGAATATTCAATGACAAGAGCATGAGTAAGGGAATGGGTTTGTAAGTTGTAAAAACCTGCTCATGTGGCAGGTTAGGGCGGGGAGTGGAATTTGTTTGACTGGCAGGTTACAAGGGAAAGAGAAGAAGGGAGAAAAGGGCCAGAAGATATTGAAAGTGGAGTAGAGGGAGGCATACATGTCTCTCCCAAAAGATACCACTAAAAAAACAACAAGCCCCCGTTCTTGTCCCTAATATTGTAAGCATCAATATTGTAGTCCCAGATATTATAAAATCCTAACTTTAGCCCTGATTTTGCAAAAATATATGCATCTTAGTTCTTTTCTGTTTCACTGTCATTTCATGCATCTTAGTCCTTTTCCATTCTAGTCCCTAATATTCTAAGCATCAACCTTAGTACTTAGTCCTGACTTTGCAAATATTTATTCATGTTAGTTCTTTTCCATTTCACTGTCGTTTTGCACCAAAATTGATTAAATTGAATAACATTTTTCAAAGTCAGGGACTAAATTCAGAATTTTGTAAGGTTAGAATATGTTTGATTTCTCTTTTAGAAAGAGTTTTCAATTTTTTTTTTCTAAATATAGTATAATACTATATTTAGAAAAAAAATTGAAAACTCTTTTAAAAATGGGAAACAAACATACCCTTAATGTCAAAAGTAAATAATACTTAAAATTTTAGAGACTAGAACAGGTGTTTATTTACTAAATAAATTTGAAGAAAAAAAAGAATGAAAGCAACCCAACAACTATAATCAAGTCTTATCTCACTAGATGAAGTTGACTACATAGATCACACGATACACCATTGAATTGAATTAAAAACCAAATTCTCAAAAAATCATTTATCATTAGATCTCTTTTAATGATATTTGCTGAAGTTTTTCTGGGTCTCTCTCTACCCTTTCATACAGAACAAAAAGTCATGACATACACTCACCTCACTACTGCCTATAGTGACCTTCTTTGCACACAACCAAACACCTTATATCCCACTAGGTGAAGTTGGCTACATAGATCATACAATGTCATTGAACTCAATTAAAAGCCAAAATCTCAAAAATATTATTTATCATTAGATCTCTTTTAATGATATTCTCTAAAGTTTTTCTGGGTCTCTCTATACTTTTTACAAAACTAAAAGCCATGTCATATACTCACCTTATTAGTTTCTATAGTGACCTTAGCACATGACCAAACAACTTTAAACGATTTTTTATCATATTTTTCACTATAGGTGTTACTTCAATATTCTCGCAGATACAATTAATAAAAGCATTTGTACTAATTTGAATTCTAAGAAAGATTCCATATTTCAAACCCCATGTTTTAATTATAACTTAACAAGAATGGATACATCATTTTACATGCAATTCCTATTCGATTAGCATGCAAAAGTGGCCCTAGAAAAAACAATTCCAGGTTCAATGTCAAAATGAGAAAACTTTGCTAAAGTTCCTTACAAGTTTGTATGTTAGATACTAGTATCAAATAGGCTAGAGATTGAATAGACACTCGTATTATTTATAAATGTGTTTAGTCCTAATGTAAAAAACGTACAAATGCACCAGAATACAATGGTGGCACTTCAAGAGGCCAAATGCTTCCTAACACATCTAAGGATTTCTTTTTCTCCCCCTTTCCTTACTCTTTACCCTCTTATTTATAATATTGTTCCCCTCCCCTATCGTCTAGATTTAGATACAGAATAACTGATTCTGTTACAATTATTATTATGAATATCCCTAACAGGCTGACTCAAGGCTTTTATCCCCTTTAGCCTTCCTATCTCTTCCCCTATATACCTTAATAATAGGAGGTTTCCAAACAATACCCCCCCCCCCTTGAGAACCACCTTGTCCTCAAGGTGGAAATGACGGAAAGGATCTTGAATACAAGCCCTATTCCCAAGAGGCTTCATAATCCAATAGATCATTCCACTTAATCAAGACTTCAAGTTCACCTTGGCATCCATCCCTTACTGCTTCCACGTCCTCAGGCTCCAAGGCCAACTCATGCTCATCTGTTAACAACGCTGGTATAACAATGCTGGTAGGGGTTGCACCTGCAGCTTGGGTTTGACCCCTTTCTTCAAAACGGACACATGGAAAATGGATGCATGCGGCTGTCTGCCAGAAGATACACCACTGGCCCTGTCTGCTCGACAATCTAATATGGCCCATAGAATCTAGGGCTGAGTTTCTCATTAGGTTTTCTAGCTATTGACTTCATTCTGTAGGGCTACAACTTCAGATAGACCCAATCTCCTACTGCCAAGTCAACTTGGCGCCTTTTTTTGTCAATCTTGGCCTTGATAACATCTTGAGCCTTGAGCAAATTAGCTCTCAATTCTCACAGCTGATTATCTCTGTCAGTGGTCATGTAGTTAACCTCTTCCACCTTTGCACGTATGGTTGTCCTTTTTTGTAACACAGGGAGATCTTGCCCATATAATGCTCTAAAAGGTGTCATCTTTATGGAAGCACTGTAGTTGGAATTGAACCAAAATTCTGCCCAGTGTAACTAGTCAAACCAGCGTTTGGGATTGGTTCCTGTAAGACAGCATAACTACATTTCAAGGCACTGGTTCACCACCTCTATCTGACCATCTGTCAGCAGATGGTAGGCCATACTGAAATGGCGCTGAGTCTCGGATAATCAAAATAGCTTGCGCCAGAAATTGCTTAAAAATATCTTATCTCTATTCGACACGATTATGGTTGGGAACCCGTGCAATTAGACAATTTCCTGCACAAACACAACAGTCACCTCTTTGGCAATGAAAGGATGGCACAATGGCAAGAAATGTGCATACTTGGTGAGTCAATCCACCACCACCAGTATCATATCCACTCCACATGTTTTGGGAAGGCCTCCTATGAAGTCCATTGATATGTCCTTCTAGCTATGGGTAGGTACTGGCAAAGGCTGCAGTAACCCTATTGGGCTGAGGGCTGCATATTTATTACGTTGACAAGTCTCACAATTTGCTACATGATGTTGTATGTCTGCCTTCATCCCTTACCAAAAGAGGACCATTGCAGCTCTTTTGTAAGTCTGAAAGAACCCAGAATGTCCTCTTGCTTGGGAGTCATGGAACTCTGCCAACAGCGAGGGAATATGTGGGGACTGCTTGGGCAGGACCAGCCATCTTCAAAAGTACAAGCGGTTTCCTCAGAGTTCACACCCAGGATGTGTTGAGGGATATGTCAGCAAATCATCCATGATCCCGCGTAGTTTACTGTCGCGACCAACTCTTCGTGTCTCATCACAAAAATGGCAGTGAACATCATTTTTTGGATAGGGCATCAGCAACTTGATTCTAATGGCTTGGCCTGAAACGGATTTCGAAGTCGAAGCACATTAACTTAGACATCCAGCGAAAATATTCCTCACTTAACTCCCTTTGATCAGTTAGAAACTTCAAGCTGCGTTGATCCGTAAGTATAGTAAAGCACCTCCCCAACAGATAGTGCCTCCACCGTAGCAATGCCAGGACAATAGCCATGAGTTCCCTTTCATATATGGACTTCCATTGGGCCCTGTCTGACAGTGTTTGGCTTCAAAACACCACTGGTCTCCCTTGTTGTGATAACACAGCCCTTAGACCCTTGCTAGAAGCATCTGCTTCTACCACAAATTCCTCTGAAAAATCTGGGACTGCCAATACAGGAAGTTGTAGCATGGCCCCCGAAAGGTCGTTAGGCCTGAATGTTCCATTGGAACACAGCTTCCTTCTTCAGCAGCTGTGTGAGAGGTCGCGCCTTGGCTCCATAATCCTTCACAAACCGTGTATAGTACCCAAACAGTCCCAAGAACCCCCTGAGGGCCTTTTTATCACGCGGTACTAGCCAGTTTTGAATGACCTCTAGCTTTTGTGGACTGCTGCCACCCCTTACTTTGATATAACATGTCCTAGATACTCAAGGGTGCGTTGTAGGAATGTGCATTTCTCCAAGTTTGCGTACAAACCATGATGTCGAAGTGCTCCAAAGACCAGTTTCAGATGTCATATATGCTCCTCCAAACTGCAACTATTCATAAGAATATCGTAAAAAAAAAAAAAAACTAAACTGAATTTTCGAAGGTATGGTTTTAGCACGTCGTTCATCATCGCTTGAAACGTGGAGGGGGCATTTTTCAAGCCAAAAGGCATTACGAGAAACTCGCAGTGTCCCTCATGAGTCTTGAATGCCATCTTCTGAATATCACTCCCTTTCATGCGGATTTGGTGAAAACCAGCCTTTAAATCCATTTTGGAGAAAATCATTGCTCCTCTCAACTCGTCCATTAGCTCTTCTATCATCGATGATGGGGAACTTGTCAGTCACTGTGATTTTATTGAGGGCCCAATAATCTACACAAAACCGCCACGAGCCATCTTTTTTTCTAACTAAGATAACTGGGCTGGAGTATGGGCTTGTGCTGGGTCGGATTATTCCAGCCTCCAGCATCTCAGTGACCAATTTTTCTATCTCATTTTTTGGTAATGTCGGTACTTCTAGGGTCGAACGTTCAGAATATTCTTTCCTTCTTTTAAGTGTATCGCATGATCGCATTTCCTTTCTAGAGGCAATCCTGCTGGTTGCTTAAAAAACATCTGCAAACTCTGCCAATAATTGTTGTATTTGTTGTCCCCCTCCCTAATTTTGTGACTCCAATGTTCCCCTCATCAGACAATCAATCCAATACCCTTCTCCTTCATCTAGTAGGACTTTATGTATGGCTTTTAAGGTTGCTCTTCCCTTGGACAATCTCAGGTCCCCCTTGCAGTCTCGCCACTCCTGTCCTAGTGTTAATACCCATTGTCATCTCTTGGAAGTCCACCCAGATTCTTCCCAAGGTTTCCAGCCACGCTATTCCCGACACAACATCAACTTTCTTTAATTCAAACAAATAAAAATCTTGCTCTACTTCCACTTCTTGCAACTTAAACTTCAAATGAGGACATTTTCCCTTACATCTCAGCCTTCTACCATCCCCTACCTCCACCGTATAGGGGTCAGTTTCCAAAACCAGCAAGCCTAGTTCTTCAACCAGAACTTTGGAAACAAAGTTATGGGATGCTCCACCATCAATGAGGACAATAACCTTCCTTCCCTTGATTTCCGCCCACATTTTCATGGACTTCCTTGTTGTAAATCCTTTCATGGAATAAAAAGACAATTGTAAAGACTTACGCTGCCCTACTCCTTCTTCAGTAGGTATCTCTTCTTGTGCACTCCCACTAGTTTCCTCCTTCCCTGCAGTTTCTTCCTTCACACGTTCAGACTCATCCACATACTGTGCACTCCGCATTGCATCCTTCAAGGTAGCTGAAGGGTAGAATTTTAAAGCAATTCTGATGTCCTTCCTGAGCCCATTTAGAAATATGCTTCCAAGATATGTGGGATCCCTATCACGCAGCAGAGCCATGTACAATTCAAATTGTTCTCGGTATTCCTGCACTGACCCTATTTGTTTTAGAGCCAATAGCATCTCAAAGGGTTTCTACAGAACTGCAGGTTGGAACCTATTAAGAAGGGCTTCCTAGAAAGGCTTCCTTGAAGGTCTCCCAACATTGGTTCTCCTCAGTGCTCTCCCACCACTGGTACCAGTACAACAGCTTGCCCTCCATTGCCACTATTATTGCCTACATTTTCTCTGCCTCGCTTGCCCCTCTGATGACGAAGTATCTTTCTACCCAACTGAGCCATCCATATGCATCCTCTCTGGAAAATAGTGGTAGTTCTAATCCCCTCCATCGATCCTCTGTGCTAAACCCCCCTGTTACCTCTGGGTTTCGCCTTTCCTCATTTTCTGAAGTCCTGTCTTCGTTTCTTGATGCTCCCTCCGGTCCTCCAAAGTGTGGAGGAACAAGTTTTTCTTGCAAGAACTCAATGTTCTTGAGTCTTGCACCTTGGTCCTTTATTTTTTTTAGTCTCGCGTCTTGTGCTTCCTGATTTTCAATGACCCGAGCTAATATCCCCTCTAACGCCTCGATTCTTGATTCCATTCTTGAATCTTGGGTGTGCGAACACATTCTTCTGACCATGAATCCTTCTCCACGCAGCGTGTTACCCACAAAGCTCCTACATTGGAGCTCTGATATCAGTGTTGATACTAGTATCAAATAGGGTAGAGATTGAATAGACACTTGTATTATTTAGGACTCTGTTTAGTTCTAATGTAAAAAACGTACAAATGCACCAGACTTCGAGAGGCCAAACTCTCCTTGACACATCTAAGGATTTCTTTTTCTCCCCCTCTCCTTACTCTTTACCTTCTTATTTATGATACTGTTCTGCTCCCCTATTGCCAAGATTCAAATACAGAATAACTGATTCTGTTACAATTATTATTATGAATATCCCTAACAGGCTGACTCAAGGGTTTTATCCCTTTTAGCCTTCCTATCTTTTCTCTTATACACCTTAATAATAGGAGGTTTCCTAACATTGTAGCATTGTTTCCCTAATTAAAAAAATGTGTAGTACATACTTTTTATACATCAATCATGAAAATGTTGAGTTACTGACAAACTACCACTGGGCACCAAAGTCCCAAATGAAGACATTGTTAGTTACCCTTCCTAATGTCACTGGTGACTAGTGCATCAATACAAAGCACCATTTGCCGCACACCACTTGTGGTGATGGTATTGACCATCATGCTTCATGCATTTTATTCAATTTTTCCATTTATAGAATATCCCTAACCCCATTCCCAATCATAAGAATGAATGAAATAATGATTTCCTTTGTAATGGTTCAATGTCCATTTCTTTGGACCAAATTCTTTTCCTCTTTGAATATTAGTTCCAAAAACACCAAAAATTCCCTTAACTGAAAGACATTAATACCAATAATATTGTCATTTCCAAACTAATAATGCAGGCAAGTTAAGGGGACCGTAAAAAAATTGTATCAACATTTTCTAAAATGCTTATTAGAAAAATTACAGATAAGTCATCAGAAAATATTGTAGCTCAGACTCCAGTAGCAAGCAATAAAAAATCTACTAGAATAAATCATTTTTTTAAATTTCAGAAACAGAGTGACAAGACAACACAGGAGGCAGAAACAAAAACTGTATAATGACTATCATAAGGTGCATAACATACATTTATGCTTTAAAAGAAACAGACACTGTATTTTGTAGATCAACAAGAGCTAATAAAAGTAAAGACAATTTTACAATCACATTTAAAATTTTTCAAAAGAAAAAAATTATGATAATTTCCTTCTTATGTTTCAAAAATAAATTGAAATTCATATATTGGGTCATCTTTTTCTTCATAATTTAATATTTTAATAATCATAACCTCATGCACAAACCTTGAACTCATGATCTATCCCTCCTTATTTTATTGGGGAAGATGACATTATACCATGTTCTTCTACTGCTGGCAAACTAGACCAACCTTTTCCCTGGATTTCATTTTCCTTCTTTATAAAGGTAAATTAATTAAAGAATTTCAGCAAAGCTACAGTATGTATATTATTGATCCATAAAAGACATTCATGTTGAAGAGCAAGTCCCACATTGAAGGGTTGGAAACAAATAAGAGAGAATATAAGCATTAGATCAAGTTACCATTGAAGTCCACTCACTCTACACTCTTCAACAAGGGCCCACACAAATTCTAATAATTCAAAACTTGTATAGACTCTAGTCTAGTTACCATTAGATCAAGTTCAAGACAAAGCATAATCAAATACATATATTCTAGCAATAATGCTGCATTTCATATTACACTTGGTTGAAAATCCACATTTGAATAACTACTTTCCATACCGTCACAAATGATGCATTGCTAATAAATGCTGATGAGCTAATAATCCAGTTGAGACAAGAAACAATATTACTTACAGTTGACTCATGCCGTATATGACGTGAATATGTGAAAAGCTTTTTAAAATCCTCCTGTTTCACAAAAGAATAATTATTTTGTTAAGTGAAGCACAACATTCTGAACAAAGAAAGTAGTGAAGGGGAAGAAACCAAAAACTTAGCATTAACTAGTTATAATGAAACTATGAAACTTTAATAGGAAAAAGTTCAATTTACCCTCCCCTCCCCTCCAATTAGGATGATGCAAGCTTTGAACAGAAACTTTGAAAACATGCAATGAAATTGCTGAAGTTTATATTGTGTGCTTTTTCTCTTCCATTTGATTTCCCATCACACTCTAATCAAAATTGTCTCACGCAAATTATGTGACCTTTTCTTGTACCAAGTTTCTTAATATGAAAATTGTGCTTTTCAGAGGTCATGTGCACTTCAAAAATGTGATTTCAGAATGACAAATTCAGTTAGAGCTTGACAAAATTTCAAACAGAAGGATAGAAGTGCTCAAATTAGAGAGGTTATGGATCACATAGAATGCTTTTGAAGTTTAATGACCAAAATGCACACAACCCTAACTTGAAGGTGGTAAATTGGACTTTGTCTTTCTTATTATGTCTACATGAGTACCACAGGTTACAAAGATAGGGTAAAGGAAAATCAGAACTAATATGTATCTCCTACCATCCTATATCAACAACTGTTATGAAACATTTAAGATGATCTTACCATTGTAGACGTAAGAGGCTTCTTATTAGCCATAACAGCACAACAACCCATATCAACTGCCTGTTTTAGCACCGTAATAGTGTCAAAGCTAGCAGAGCAATCTACAAAGACCAAACCTATAACCAAAAAAATCAGAAATAACATCTTAGTGATCAAATGCATGAAAGTTCACACCTATTTTGAATTTTCTTTAAAATCAATCACAGTTAGCAGGTAATGCATGACATAATAAAAATTCAACATACCTGTTTTTTTACCAAGTTGAGATGCAATGTCTAGAATCTTTCCTTGTGACTCTGGATGCATAAATGCCTGGCACTTTCCTTCAAATAACAACTAACAAGTAAGCATAAAAACACATACAAATATTCACAATCCCACCAAGACAAGCTAGGCATCGATATCAACCAAAATCATGAAGTTTTGATAGAGATTCCCCAGCACTCTTGACCCGGCAAAGTTCCAACAAGAAGTTATCATCCAACCCCTTATGCAACAAATCCTCCGCAACTACCAAAGATTTACTATCACCAACTCCTACAACTCTCAAGCAAAGTCCCTGCCACATAACAATAATAATAAACAAATACAAAAATGTCAACCAACTAAAAGCTCAAAATTTTATGAACCCATTTTCCATCAACGTCTGAAAAGTGAAAAGGACCATATTTTACTGTGATCAATAGCTAGATGGATTTAGGGAAACAAACAATATCCAAAGAATAACACTAGACAAGGAAACAAATAATGAAACTGTCTAAAAGACAAAAGGGTTATCAGAAACTCATAACAAAATTTAAATTTTCAAATTAAAGCAAGGACTTCGATGTAAGCGATGGGAAGCAGAAAGACATATGAAAATAAAACAGAATTTGAAATAATAATAATAATAATATCAACCAACTAAACGCTCAAAAGTTTATAAACCCATTTTTCCTCAATGTCTGAAAAGTGAAAAGGTCATATTTTACAGTAATCAATAGCCAGATGCAATTACGAAGCAAATAAAATCCAAAGAATAACACAAGGAAAAAAAAAACTGTTTAAAAGACAAATGTGCTATCAGAAACTGATCACAAAGTTTACATTTTCAAGTAAAAGCAAGGATTGTGATGTAAGTGATGGAGAGCAGAAACACATAAAACAGAATCTGAAAACAAAAGAATCCATAACGGTGAAGCTAAAGGGAAATTACCTGTGTAGAGTGAAGAGAACGGCATGAGACAATGTGTTGGAGCAGTTGACGACCAACTCCTCCACAACCCATTAGAATCAGAGGAATGATCTTCATCTTCTAAGAGAGATTCTCTCTTCCTCTTTCTTTACTGGTTAAAGAGAAAAACTTTTCAATTGAATTTGTTAGGGTTTTGTGAGATGGAATTATTGTGAGTAGGAAGATGACTGTGAAAAGAACCTTGATCTCTCATTTCTTGCACCAGCTTACAATATTAAAAAATATTTATATATTAACTTTAGTTTTTGCTTTAAGGTAATATTAACTTCGCTTCAGAGTTAAATTGAGATAATTAAAAATAATACATTTTTATTAAGAATATTTATCATAACTTTATATCTTTAATATAATAAATATTTTTAATAAATAATATTTTTTCATATACTTAAAGTCAATTTTAAAAATGCATACTAACAAAACTTTAACTTTAATTATCTTCTATCTATCTGTTTAAAACTGTAATCACTTTTCTATCAATTGTATGGTTCCATTTAAAATATATTAACATAAAAATATGATGCAATCTTAATGTTATATAGAAGGTATAGTATTTGATATGGTATTATATAAGACGTTATATTATAAAACTATAATATCATGTATTTTGTTATACATTGTAACACTAAATATTCTATCCAAAAATACACTATGTTCATCTAATTTTATTATGTTATATTTTTTAAAAGAAATAAAAAGTATTACAACTAATTAAATTATTTAAGACTAAATATTTTCAAAAAAATTGATTTATCATAATTTTTTATGTAACAAAATCATTTTTTAAAAATTAATTTTTATTAGTTGTAATTGATTATTAATATATTAACTTAGACGTGAATCATTCAATAAAAGTAAACTTTTGGCACCAATTGTAGTATTTTCTTCTTCCTTCTCTCTCCCGTTCCTTAGGCTTCCCTCGAGAAAATTTGTCATATGATGTATTTCCTCTAAAGATTGCGGATCAACGAGTCAAGCAACTAAGGGATAAATATATCTTGTTGGTGAAAGTGATATGGAATGCAAGCGATGAAAGAGATGTCACTTGAGAGCCTAAGGACAAAATGAGAGAAGCATACCCTAATTTCTTTCTAAATTAGTGAATTTCGAGGGTAAAATTCTTTAAAGGATGAGAAAGTTGTAACACCCTCTTTTTCATTTAGTTAATAAATTGATGATTGTTTGGTATTATATAGTGTTAGAGTGTATTAGAATGATTTAAGGCTGTTTTGGTAGAAATCTGGTGCAGGGAATCTCGCTCAAGCGAGACAAATCTCGCTCAAGCAAGAATGAGCGTCCAAAATTACATGTTTTTAGGCAATCTCACTCAGGCAAAATGATTCTCACTCAAGCGAGATAGAATCAATTTAGCCCAACTGTCACCTCGCCCAAGCGAGAAGTCATCTCACTCAGGTGAGCAGTGATCTCGCCAAAGCAAACTGAGTCATTCATGTGAGGACTTAAGAAAAATGTCCAACTTTCTGGATGTTATCTCGCTCAGGCGAACTTGACCTTGCTCAACCGAGCGTATCAGAAAATGCTTAGCAAGGCCACTGTCTGGTGTTCTCGCTCAAGCAAGTTGTACCTTGTTCAAGTGAGAATTTTGTTGCTCAAGCGAGCTGTTCCTTGTTCTAGTAAGAGTGCGCGGGGCTGAGAGGTATTTAAGAGATTTCCAGCATAAAAATTTCATTTTATTCCAAACCTCACGCTCTCTTCTTATTTTCTTTGAACTCCTACTACTTTTGTTCGATTAAACTCCTTCAAACTTCGATCACTCATCAAATCTGAGCTTGAATGTTAAATCCAAACGACTCTATGTAAGTTTCTCGAGGTAAAACTTTGTTTTCTCCTATCATTTCTTGTATTTTTCTTTCTTTACGGATATCTCTTGGTACTCAAGAGAACTTCCGTGATTGAACTCTAATCTTCATCAATATCTCTCCACATACTCACCTTGAGGTAAGAAGAGCTCTATTTTTTCGTTCTATTGAAGTGTTTATTTTATGCTCATTGGAGCACTATTACATATGGATTTTGTAAAAATATGTGTTTGAAGCATTACTTACGAATAATAGCTAAGAATATGCATGTTTGGTTGTTTAATTTGAATGGCTATGTTATGTTAACATGAAATATATGATGAGGTGTTATGATGAAGTATGACATTCTATTTGTGAGTTGAAATATATAAACTATATGTATATGAGCATTTTGTGGCTGTTATGAAGTATGATTCTAGTCTGAATGACTTAATGAGTGAAATTGTACTCTAACGGGATGAGTAGTGTGGACTTAGTCTGGAAGTGCTTTACATCTTATGAGTGGAGAATGAATGGACTCTCAAAATAAGTATAAGTATTTGATATAAAATGGATCTAGTGTGAATAGTTATAGAGACTGGAGGTATAGAGTCTGGAGACGATAAGAAATCTTAGGAAAACGTAGGGTGGTGAGCGACATTTGTGTAGGTGTATATACTTTTCTGAGAGAGAATGTGTCACGTAGCCTCACACTTGTTTCCTGACTAGACTCCTGACTATACCTTTGCTAAGGGGCCCATTATTGTAAATGTTGTATCCATATACATGGGATAACTAGCAACTATTAACCTAGCTGAGTAAGACCTCAAGAAATGCTAGAGATATCGTTGTTTGTGATCACAGTGCATTGGAAGTACGTATTGAAAGGAGAAGACTAAATAACTTATAACAAATTATTGAGTTGTGTAAATGTGATTATGTTGGTAATGTGAATTGGTTGTGGAAATGAATATGTTTTCTTTGCATTATAACAGTGATCTTTATGACGTAATGATTTATGAATGATAGAATAGACGCTAATCCTTATTGACATTTCTAGAAAAACAGGATGACGACACCTCAAGAAAGGATTAGGCTGGTAGATAACTCTATACAATGTAGGCTTAATTATGTATTTACTGAATACCATATAACATGCTATTTTAAGTTAGCAGTACATGTTGATGATATACCTAGGAATATTATTATGTTGGAGATGGAACTATATAATAGCATCCTTTTTTATTTTCATGCAAGTAAAATCCACCATACTTTATGTATGTATATTTACAAAGGTACGGTTAGAACCCTAGCAGCCTTTACGTATTTATTCATATACCATGATCATGATAATTTTGGAAGGCCGATCCAAGTTACTAGTGAGCGAGTCACAGGTGTTGAGGTTGCAGCTGACTCAAGAGATTTATATCTTGGATAAGATGATGACCTCAATTCAGAGGATTTAGCAGAGATAGAAGGATGGCATTGAGATGACTAGTACTAGGTCCTCAGCGTTTAGATATATTTTGAGACTGCTCTGGAACTTAAATTGTTTTTGTGATGTAATTATTTTGGTTGTGTAATTATTATTTTAAGTCCCACATATGTAGTGCATATTTAGTATCCAGATTTGAAAATTTGTTTTTGGTTTATTATGATATTTAAACTTACTATTATTTAATTAATATTGCATGAGAGGCAAATTTTGTAAATAATCTTATTCACAAAATGATATTTTATTTATTTAAATTTACAATGTTTGTCATATACAAAAATTCTTATTTTATTTCGAACTTGTACAAATAAAATAAGTAGATTTAAGACTAAAAATTTAGAATGTTATAATAGGGCTGAGTACGAGTATTTTTTTAAAATGCAAGTATGAGGATGGATACTATAGTACCCTACCCATACCCTACCCATTCTCATTCCTACCAACCATCCTCTTCCTCCTCCCACTCAGACTCCTTCCCCTTTCTCTCCCTCTCCCCCACCCCTATGCTCTCTCCTTCTCCCCCACACCTATGCTATCTCCTTCTCAATGCTCTATTTTGTCCATCTTCCGTTGAAGCAAAATTTTTAATTTTTGCTTAAACAAATTTTAAGGCTTAAGTCAAAAACAACTTTTTGCTTGTTTCGTTTAAGCGAATATATTTTTGGTTAAGCCAAAATACATTGCAGGCTGCAGTTGTCATTAAAACTGTAAAGGATCTAGATCCCTTATTAAGCTTGTGCAACTCAAGAGAAATATATTGTCGTTATAAAGCTATTTTTTATTCTTGTAACATATAAATATAATGCTTACCATGTTGTTTTGTTTTTGTTATTTTTAGTTAATAGTTTTATATTGAGATGAAGATGTAGATGATGGTTTTGGACAAGATCGACTTCTTATGATTTTGAACAGCTTAAAAATATATGGTTTTACTCAAATTTTGAGAGATTTTACTGAATTTTAGCAGCTTCATAATCGGTATTATTGTTTTAGCAGAACTTTATCCTTATGTTTATCAAGCTACGTGACTATTAATGTTTTTGTAGTAACCCATTCATAATTTAAGTTGTGGTACCAATCCTTCAAAAACATCTTGAATTAAGTCTAACCTTGGTCTGCAAATAAATGTGAAGTAATATCAATGCCTCAAATCTTAAGCCCAATTTAAAAGAGAGGCGAAATACAGATAGAAACTGAAACATGAGAAATAAATTGAAAATAAAGTAAAAATATTTAATATTTAAATGAGTTAAAATAAAAAAATGATAAAAAAAACTTGTCTAGCTGTTAGATGAGTAATAAATAAATAAACAAATTATATTTAAAATATTAATAAAAATAAAATAAATCTAAATTTTTTCTTATAAAATATTATTTTATTTTTTTATAATAATTTATAAATTTTACTATTTTTAAAAAATAAAAAAAATAACTTAAGAAAATTATCATTTCCTTTGCCTCCCTTTGCCTACTTACTTTCTCTTTCCTCTTGTACGTTCATTTTCACCCTAAAATGGGAGAATATTTTGTGATGGTAACCACAAAAAAAATTCCATCCCTCTCTTTCTCAATTACAATAAAGAATGTTTCTTGCGAAGCTTATGTTTCATACTTTCCTTCCAATTTTCATAACATTAAAACTCAGTGTTAATTTGATAAGTTAAAATTAAATGTCGAAGTCAATAACTCAATTTATTCATAATATTTGTTTTTTTAAGTAAAATTAATATTTTCATCCTCCAATTTAAAAGTTAATTTTGATATTGTTTAATTTTATTTTAATTCATTTTGATCCTCTAATTTTTAAAAATATTTTAAATAATTATTTTATTAAAAATATTAATTTTATTAATATGTTTTTTTATCACACGTACTATTCACGAACGGTTCATTTTCTTTCTTACATC